AAACCCTAGACCCTAAATCCTGAGCTCTTACCCTGTCTCCCGAAGCTCTCCTTGAATGAGAAGCTCCTACATGACGAAAACACTCGCTAGGGTTATCTGTGACAGCCACTACAATGGGCCAGAAACATGTATGGTCTTTGAAAGCTCAGGCGACTTAGTAAGTGGCTCAACAAAAGGGGTCATGGGTACCTAGTTGGGGCAGCCTGCTTAGAAGCCAATTTGAAACCTGCTTACTAAGTCCACTGACATTGAAAGTAACCCTTATTACCTAAGCACCCATATAATCCCGGCTTGAATTTCACTGTCCATTTCTTTTCCATGTGGTTCTTCCTCATTAGTACCATATTCCCTTTCAAAAATCTATAATCCAATGACAAAGTCCGCGAAGCCTTTGAATACATGTTCTACTAAACCTCCTGCATCACCAATGTATGAACCCTCTACAAGCCCTCGGTCTAGCCCTGCAACATCCTTAAGGAGGCCCTGAATAAGAGGTTGTTACTAAACCCTAAGCCCATAATGGACTTGAGTTGTTTAGGGGCAAAAGCAAAATGCAAAACCCCGCTCAAAACCCTCCCCAAAACTCCGCCCAAAACGCAAGACATGAACCTATACTATTTCTATAACCCTAAACCCTAAACCCTACGCCCTAAAAACCCTAAACCCTAAACCGAGTGCTTGCTCAGGTGGGGAAGCTTGAGCCCCCAGCTGATGGAAGTCTTTGCAGCGAGGAATATTCAAGCCTGACAGACACAAGGAAATGCAAAAGAAATGGATGCTACTTAGGGTTCAGGGTTTAGGGTAGAACTTCTGGACAACGACTTATGGTTTAGGGTTTAAGGCTTGCCAAAGAACCGAACAAGTACTATCATGCAGAATGAAAAGGAACAGAAATTGAAACGGAAACTAGATTTGGTTGCTTTCTAGGGTTCTATGGTAATTTCCCGAACCCTAAATTGGGACCCCCAAAACAGTACCCTTAATTTTGGGAAATTCCCATAAAGGGTTCCCTAAGCACCCCCTGAAACTCCCCTGAGTTGACCTCACAGTACCTAGCCCTGCGTAACTCTATATAGTCCCCCTTAAATAGATATAGGGTATATTATTGGGGTTATGCAGGGATAATGGAAAAGAAATGGAAACTACAATATTATAATAGGGAATATATTGCTGTTAGCGTCCCCCTTAAATAAATAGAATATGGCTTTGCTTACACGATCATAAGATCCCCATTCACTCCATATTCTATCTGCTCAAGGGGGACTGTAGTAGGGTGTAGTTCTGAGGGGGGCGGTTGGGAACCCACAAGTGTAGGTGTAAAGTTTATCAAAATGGCGTGGCAGCCTTTTTCTTGCAAAGGTAGTGGATGCCTGTACTGAGATGCCCTTGTCATGTTGACGAGTTTTGCGCGAATATATGAACCCACGCCACCGTCGCCGCCCGCGCTGCTGCCGCTGCCGACGCCACCCCAACCCCCGCCAGCCGCCTCCACCAACCCCATTATTATTTATAACCTTGATAAAAAAGGCAAACTTCGCGAAGTATGAAGGTGTTGTTAGCCCAACTAAACCTAGTCAGGAAGTCACACGCACCTCCACGTTGCTAAGAACTTGGGGGATGTTGAGACGTGGTGCCAGACAACAAAACCCTGCCTGCGATCACATCGGCAAGCTTCCTCAGTAGAGCGTTAGTTCTGCTTGGGCAGGCGTTTCGGATCGGATTTAGGGCTTGGTTTAGGGATTAGAGTCTCGGGTTTTTAGATTTGAAGTGGCTTCACTTTCAGGTCGTTTTGTCGATTGAAACGGGGAACAAGAATCCTCAAATGTCCCCATACGGTTGGCCCCAACAGCTAAGTAGGGAAATCATGCTGTGGCCAGGCTACGACGGCGATCGATTCATTGTTACGTAGAACCTAAATATTGTAATTTGAATAGGGCCTTGGGTGTACTATACTGTAACCATATGATCCGTAGTCCAAACTCCAAGTATACCCCTCTCAGGGAGTTTAGACTATACGACAATAGCATTTGCAATTCTGGCTTCTGCGTTAGCACCCCTCATGGATAAAAAAACCTGCAAACCACGCGTAGGACCATGCCATGCATTCTAGGGTTTAGGGTTTAGGGTTTAGGGTTTAGGGCTTAGGGTTTAGGGTTTAGAGTTTAGGGTTTAGGGTTTAGGATTCTCAAGAGAACGCCATGACTCTCTGACCGCTGTTAGCCTCTATAGGGTTTAGGATTCACGGTCTAGGATTCAGGGTTTCGGATTTAGGGTTCATACTCCCAAACTAACACGGAAGTCCAAACGGAGCCGAATGTTTGTTTGCATACCCGAAATCGGCGGCCAGAATGTCATGGGGGGGTGGGGACGAATCTTGTTAATCCCTCCTCGCAACCTAGAGACCCCAATAAAGCCTAACCCCTAAACCCTAAACCTGATACTCTAAACCCAACCCCTCCCCCCCCACCCCAGGGGCACTCCTGGGAGTAGGAGCACTGCACGAGTTGTTTCCCTCGGCTTTCTGATTTGAATGAGGCTCTGTGGCAACAGATCCCTTTCCTTGCCCTCCTCCAAATTTCCCAACTCCTGCTATTTCATACCCTTTTTCCATGGGTTCCTTTATCCCACGGGGGAACCTGGTGGGAACTCAGACATGTTGGGTGACATACGTAATATTCAGTGGTGGCCGGGTGTTCTCTAATGTGGGCGGGGGAAGGAATTAGCTTCCTCGACCCTAAAACGTCAACTTCCAGGTCCACGGGTAGTTCTACTCTACTTGTACTTACTGATCCACTATCAGCCCCATGAGTCCCCTAACATGGAGCTATAAGTGGGCTATGAGCACAGCCCAAACCCTAAACCTTAGATCCTAGGCCCAAAACTGTAAACCCTAAACCTGAAACCTCAAACCCAGAGCCCTCAACTAAGTAGGTTCAAATATCCATGAACCTCCGAGTAAGCACTGGCGACCTAAACCCTAAACCCTGGACCCGAAATAGTAGTTTGCATGTTCTTTCCCATTATCCCTATACAATCCCTATACCCCCCTATATTACTATATTACCCCTATATAAGCTCTAGACCCTACACCCTAACATTAAGGCCCTTAAACGGAGGGGGTTGATTGATCATGGGTCTCCATTACTGCAGACAGGGCACTGGCTAAACTTTCGGAGCGGAAGCTCGCGCAACACCTGTTGAGGCCGTATTGGGGTTATATTAGGGTTTAGGCTTGAGGGTTGAGGGTTTAGGATTTAGGGTTACCCCCAATTATACAGAAGAAGGTTTTGGGTTGTTCAAGAAAGGACAGGGTTTAGGGTTGATACGGTTTTGGGGGTCCCCACAATCAGGATTATAATATATAATGGTATACCGCCCGCCATTTCCAGAGAATCCCATACTGCTGTAGATGGCTAGGGCTTCAGGGTTTAGGATGTGGTGTTCTGGGGTGTGGGGTCTAGGGGATTTTCTCCGCGATGCTGCCCGCACCTGAGAATAGAAGCTTTTACACTCCCCCAAACTAAGATGGAAACCCCTATAGTCGCCTTCTAGAAGCACTGTCGTCTTTATCGGGCCCTTATAGGTTTCCATGTTCGTTTCTGGGAGTGTACTGCGAAAGGGAGGGCACAGATAGCCCAAACAAGAACACCAAGGTCCCTGGCACTGAGCAGCCCTTGGGTTTAGGGTTTAGGGTTTAGGGCAAGTTAACTTTTAGGTTAGGAATAACAGGGAAGCCCAAAAAGTGAAGGGTCTAGGGTCCAAGCTAAGTGCCAAGGAGAAGCTAGGCAATGACCCGAAGGCCCAAATGGATCTGCAGCCCTTCTGCTCAAGTCTTGCGACTCATGACTTGTTGGTTCTTCATAGGGGATATGGGAATAGAATCCCTATATAACACAGAATCTAAACTCCTCAAAGGCGGGTTATATATTGATTATGTAGGGGAGTACTACAGGGGATATTAAGGGGGATACTAGGAGTTTAGACTAGACTGTAGCTCAGGTAACCCATAAACCCTAAACCTTAAACCCCCATATAATATTCCGATAGTCCCTGCTGACTGCCAGCAAGATGAAGGAAGGCCTCAACATGAGCCTGCTGAACTCAAATCGAACCCCACGAAATGGGATCTCGCAGAATGGTCCCATGGGGCTGTCCACATAAGCTCATGCTGCAGAAAACCCAGATGCCCCCTGACGTTTGCAAAGCTGGTGTCTTTGAAACGTAATACTGTAATCATACCAGTAGTAATGAGAAACATTATAGTCGTAATAACCAGCGGTCCTAAGCCTTGGCGCAACCCTGAGGCACAATCTCTACCCAAAGCCTGAAAGTAGATACCCTCAACCCTGAACCAGCAGAACCAGCCGCAAAGGGTCTGGTAAGGACCTATGAAAGGGATGGTCTCTAGACTCCTGAAAGCGGAGTTCTTAAAGGACAAATAGGGTATAGGGTTTAGGGTTTAGGGTTTAGGGCCCTAAACCAACCCCTTGTCCCATGCTGAACATCTGGAAGAAGCCCTTCAATAATCTATCAGTTACACTGCTACACTTACGAGCCTTGAACGCCCAAACTCTAAGCTCACTGGAACCCTGGTAGAATATGCAATTTCAGCTGTTACTTCGGAAGATACATAACAACAAATATTCCAGGGATCTTCCAGAAAAGCAAAACCCTAAACCATAAACCCCAAATCATTGACCCCAAATCCTAAACCCCACAGCGCTAAACCGGGAGCATGGACGGGTGCCTGCGCGCGCTCCTCATTCGTCAGCTTCTCAGCACTGACGTGCATGAACTTGCAGTCCTGCGGTAATTAGGAATTACATTACAACCCCCCAAATAACCCCCCCCCAGGGTTTAAGGAGCTAATAAGAACTATATGGAGGTTAATAAGGCCTAGTAGGGTTCTAAATTCGGGCCAGGGGGGGGGACATTTTGCGGGGTATACATGTCTAACTCCTAACGTAGTCGGAGACGGGAAATCTTGCACCATGTAGGATCCCCGTTTTTACTGATAGGAGTAAGGCATATGGGATGGTGCAAGATTTCCTAGGCTTTGCATTTGGTTTGGGGTCAGGAAGCCTGGACAACCTTCCGCAAGCATAAGAGCCTCATTCAGGCCCTATCGATCGCTTTGCGGAATTCTGCGAAACTCCGATATGACAGCAATGACTACTGCTGCGCCAAAACCCGAAACCCTAAACCCCAAACCCTAAACCCTAAACTGCCTACATGACCTCTTAAGCCATGATGAGACTCCCTGCTACCATGGAACTTCCCCATCAATCCTACTAGTTACCAGAACATTCGGAGCTCTTCAACCCTAACTGCATCTCCAAACCCCAAAACCTCAAATGCCAAACCTTATACTCAAAGCCCTTGCGCCCCAACGACTACGTACCTGCGGTCCGATTTGTCCTCGAAACGGCATGTGCCCTCAAAGTAGCGGAAGCAAACAGCGTTGCGCGATGCCTGGTCCTGGTGAAACAGTAACAAGAGTTTGGAGCTTGGGGATACAGGATTATGGACAGGAAGGAGGATCTGTGGTTTATGTAAAGTTTTGGGAATGTGCAGGGCTTGGGCTTTGGAGTTTACGTATTTCTGAGCAGGGTTTTGGGAAGGGGGTTTTGGGATCATGTAGGTTTTGGGGGTCACGAGTTATGACTACAGGGCTTCTGGTTTAGGACTTGGAGATTCAGGTAAAGGGTCTTTCCAGGCTGAGGCTTTTAGGAGGTTGGATGGCCCCCCTCCCCAAAAAGGCGAAGCCACAGCTGCAGCCAAATTGGCCTTACTTCATTCCATTTCAGCTTATGTGAACCGCAGGGGTCAGGGTAATATGCTTGGAATACCCCTAGACCCTGAACCCTAAACCCTAGACCCTAAACCCTTGACCCTAAACCCTTGACCCTATTCCCTAAACCTATGCTGAAAACGCAAAACATTAAATCTATGGAGGGAGGGGTTTCTAGGATGGGGGTTGCCTAGGGAGCCTCCTGGGATATATGGGGATTAATTAGGATTTAGGATTTTGGGCTTAGGGTTTGGGGTTTAAGGTTCAGGCTTAGGGTTTAGGGTTCAGGCTTAGGGTCTCTATGAAGGATCCTATAGGCTTAAGATTGGCCATAAGCCTCAGATAGGTGTGAGTCTTGCAGGTTGAACCAAGTAAGGTTATGTGCTTCTGATGAAATACTAGGACCTTATAAGGAAAGTAGAATCTCACTCTGCCTTTGGTCACTCTGCCTTTGGGAGGATGGTGTCCCCATGTCCAAATTTAGGGCTGAAGGTTTGGAATTGAGGGTTTGGGGTTGAGGGTTTGGGGTTGAGGGGGTTGAGGGATCGAAGAGCACCAGCAACGCCTTCAGTAAGGTTCCCTTTGTACCCTCAACTATGCAAGGATCCTAGCTATGAGATTCTCCCGAAATTATTGTAGAAACATGAATACTTTTCCTTATGTTTCGGAGCTCTATTTGAGGGTTCCTACACTATGATTTTGCCAAAGCAAAAAAATAGAACCATCATGCTGGTAGTTCTCCCTGTAAGCTGGGGTGTTGGCTGGGTTTAGGGCTTAGGGGCCTCAAGTCGATGTCATTTCTCATGTTCTTTTCCATTTGGTTCTTCGTTATTAAGGGAAAATATCCCCCAAACCTAGATCTTTCTATCTCACCCTCCTAGACTTCATATACTTTCAGAAGATCTGTCCGCAAAACGGGCATCTCCTCTTTGTACATGTGACTCTGAGGACATCTTTCTCCATGCCCTATCTGCAGCAAAGGGTTTAGGGTTTAGGGTTTAGGGGACCCTAAAGCCTAAACTAATGGCGTTGAAGCCGAAAGTCCTGGAAACCCTCAAGCCCTGAAACCAGAAAACCAGCAAAACTCGACCGTCTTCACATCTCAATTGAGCTATAGTCTAAACTCCTAGCATTCCCCTCAATGACCCCTATAACACTTGCCATATATAATCCCCTAAATGACCCCCTTTAAAGAATTAAGATTCCGACTGACTTATATAATACCCTGGACCCTAAACCCTAAACCCCTACACCCCTAAGTCGTACCCCTAAACCCTAAACCCCTAGACTGCTTTACCATCTGCACAGCTTCATTTGGCAATCCATCATGATGCAAAGTCTGCAGGCACACTTGGAGCAAGGGGAGGCTTCCCTCTTCCCCGGAGAGGGGGAAGGGCTTTGGGCTCAAGGTTTAGGGTTTACAGGTTTAGGGATTTTGGGGTTAAGGGGTTGGGTTTCGGAGTTTAGGGTTGGGGGGTTTAAGGTTCAGGGTTTCGGGTTTAGGGCTTGGGCATTGCGGCAGAGTTTGGGGTCTAGGGAGGAGATGGGCGCAGGATGCCAAGTCTGATGCGTATTTAGCATCCTCGCCGGATTCTGAAAAACAATTTCGCAAAGAAAGACACCAGAAATTCTGCAAAGAACCCTTAACCCTAAATAAACTCCTAACCTCTAAACTCCTAACCTCTAAACCCCTACACCCTAACACAATGTCCGTTCTTGCAGTCCTGGGATGGCTTTGCCGAAGCTCATTCTCTTTCCTGCCTCCCTCCAGCCCCCCACGCCCAATCCAGGCTTTACAATTTACTCGCGTGACACACCAGGCTCTCAAGGCGAAATCATTTTATTTGGGACGAAGCGTGACCCTCGCAATGAAAATCAAAGTTGCTTGGTGCCTAAGGCTTGTCGTTGGGAAGTTTGAGGGGATGTGACTACCAACGGGCAGAGGTAGATCGCTGAAAGGTATAGTTTCCATTTACTTTTCCATTTCCCTATATACCCGCTATATAACCCCAATATAACCCGTACATCACCCTTATAAACCCCCTCATTTTGGGAGTGTTGAGATTTCTGTCCACTTCTTACCTTCCTCCAGAAGATTCCTCCACATGGAGCTTGAGAGAGGCTCCTACAACGACGACCGTCCTTTTAAAAGGGACCTACCCTAAGGGTCCAAGTACCTAATAATCATATACTTACCCCAAACCTGTACTATGATTATTAGTACCCGAATCCCAAGTACCTGATTATTGGGTACATGGACCCTCTGGGCTATCTAGAGGTCCATGTTTACTTGGGGGAGGGCATGTGTACCCCAACAACATGTCCAAGCATCTAGCAGTACAACTCCTTGTTAAGCCTGGGCAAGGCAACGTAGCCTGCATGAGGTTATCCAGGCCTGCAGAAGCAAACTTTGCAGTTTCATTAAATTTTCTAAAATCTAAACCCCCAGCCCTAGACCAGTGCACTTATGAAAGTACAGGGACGATTTCGCAACGTCTTGCTGGGACCCGAAACCCTGCATCAAGGGTTTAGGGTTTAGGATTATCAGATACTGGTTCCTTTCTGGGATAGGATCAAACATCATGCTCGAATATTCCTTCTTGAGTTCTGATATTGGTCGAATTAAGAAAATACACAAGCCATAGTCTAAACTCATAGTATCCCCCTTAAAATCCCCTATAGTAGTCCCCCATACAATCCCCTACATAATCCCTCTTTAAGGAGTTTAGACTATGGCTCACATCAAACCATCACCCAGAGATGTCCTCATGAGTGATTTAAGGTTTCACTCCTCATTCTTCTCGGCTTGAGAACCGGCGGGTAGATGTGATGTAGAAGCCTGAAAAATTACCAATATATTCCCCCTCAAAAAATAGAAATATGGTGTATCTGGGGATCTTATTATAATATTACCCAGAGCCATCTACTTATAATATACCCAGAGCCATATTCTATCTACTTTAGGGGGACGATGACCTTTGGAGGTCTATTTCAAGGCACCCTCGACCTTGACTATGCAAGGTGACTAGGACTGCACATTGGCAATTATTTGAAGGTTTCCCAAAATTAGGGGTACCCTTTAAAGGGGGATATAGGGGTTATATAAGGGTTGTATAGGGGTTATAGGGTTATATAGGGTTTAGGGGTTAGGGGTATATGACCCACAATAATGGAGAATCAAATGGAAAAGAAAATGGAAAATTAAATAGAAGCTGGGATTCTATAGGGGATTATAGGGATTAGGGGTTTCCCAAAATTAGGGGGACCTTTTCGGGGTCCCCATCATAAGGACTATAGTACTTTCGGGTTGATATTGGGGTCCCCCCATCTAGGGAAACTACCATCTAGGCTTCTGCATTGGATGTACAGGTGGTGCGGAATCTAGCATACGCTATTGGCTGCGACACGGCACCGCAAAAACAAGGGCTGAAACATCGACCAAGTGGGCTGTACAGCTTTCCCACGTGACTTCTGCAAGAGTGAACATCATGAGGAATCACAGAATCGCAGGGTCATAGTGCAGATACTGTTGATACCAAAACACCATAGCCCCCAAGCTAGAAGTCATTGTGGATTACGCAGGTTTTTTGGCACCACAGGCCTGATATAATCCCTATATAACAAGCAACCCAAACCCGACACCCTAATCCAACATACCTCAAAGAGGTACCCTCGAACGCCTTGCCTTGCCTAAACCCAAGCCATGTGAGTCAGAGTTTAAACTCCTAGTACAATACCAAACCTTAAATCCTAACGCCCCAAACCCTGAATGCTACCCTGGTAAGTCTCATTGTGACAGTAGTTCACTAAAGAAGGATATGATCTTGCTCTATATTTGGCTACGATAGTATTGATCACGGATACCATATTATCCCCCAATAAAATACTACTCATATGCCCTAATGCCACGCACATCCACACAGTTGCGGGTTCAGAGTTCAAGGAATTAGGCTTAGACTTGAATGAGGGGACTTGATTTTGGTTGCCTCAACTCCTACAAG